GATTTGAGTCTCTTGGTGCAGTGATGGAGAGGATCCACTTCAGGGTGTATCAGAGCACCGTGACCTCACTGGCGATTGCAGTTACGAGTGCAAAAGGGCTCACTTGTCAGCACACTTTCAGTCAGGGAGAGCAATGACACGCTATCTCTCAGCCCGGTGTTAAGTTACTCTTCAAAAAATGTTGTTGTAATTACCACAAACACACCGCTAACTGGGTGGGAAATAGTCCAAGATGAACACTACCTCATAAAGAAATACAACAGCGCAAATCAGCTTGGAAATAAAGCCCACAGGTGCAAAAACAAACAGAAAATGTCATAATTATGAACAAATGGCCCTAATTAATTGTTTTTGTGTGGAAAAAAAAACTTGGTGTTGGCAGGACAGCTGACAAAGAAGAAACAAGACTACAGCTGTGCCTGCAGCTTTGCTAGGCTGCAGTTACACCTGTGTTTCAATATAAATGTTGAAATGTGGACATTCAAGTATAATGTTAATCCTATTCACCAGGATAGGCTGTGGTTTCATGGTTTTAGCATCAACACATTTCAAAGGTCAGAAACAGTTGACTGTAAGCAGATATGGTTGCTCTGTTGTAATGCCGGGGGAGGTATTTAAATATAAAGTTGCTCTGTGTGATCACTTCATCCTGTGTTAAATCATTTTGGACGCGTTTTATAGGTGATAGTGTGATAATACCCTTTAATTAGCATGTAATTACCGTGGTGATAACCAAGTAACGACTTGGCATAAGCCATAGTTTTTAGATGAGTAATACTAGGGAGAAATAACAAAGGGTAATAATGTGGAAACAAATGAAACAACACCTATGAAGCAAAGCAGCTAGTACAGTAAATTCTCAAAAACAATGGAAAATCTGTGAGCAATGAAATGGTCATTTCTGTGCTACATTAATACTGTGACATTAGTCTGATCTCTTTCAGGATGACCATCCATTGTTCAGGACTGGTTTAACAATGGCTGATTTTGGATCACACTACACGCCACCACAGTGGATTTTAAATAAAACAATCAACATGTAATCCAAGTGTAGACTTTCAGCTTTAATTAAATGGGTTTCACAAAAAAATTCCATTAACTGTTTAGGAATTCAAGCCATTTTTTATAAATATATATATTATAGATAACGTGACACAGATGCTCTTCCAGGGCTTTATTGTAGCTGCCTTCAGTTGCTGTTTGTTTGTGGGTCTCTCTCCATCCAGTTTAGGCTTCAGTAACTGAAAAGCATGTTCTATTGGGCTGAGATCGGGTGACTGTCTTGGTCATTACAGATTATCCCATTTCTTTGCCTCAAGAAACTCTTGGGCTGCTTTTGCAGTATGGTTCTTATTGAATTTTAGTCCCAAGACTTAATGGCTTAAGGCTTACTGAAGTAGCAGTTATGCTAATGGTAACTCTACAGGAGGTTAATGTCCTTGTGATTTTCTTTGATATCTGATGGATGTCTGCGTGTTTGAATCTGAGCACCTGATTGAGATAGTAGTAAGTCTCAGCTTCCTGCAGGTACAGTGAGTGCTTCTCATGAGGAGGAAGGCCTGACAACATCTCATAGAAGATGTGATAGTTCCTCTCTGATTTGGCCTGTGAATAAACACACATACAGAAAAAAGTCACCCTGACACATGGCGCACACACACTAGGACTGCTTAGCAGTTTAAATCTCTTATGACTGAAACGGACACACATAATGCCGTTGACAGAGAAACACATATTTGAGGGATACTCAAAGGATGTGTGACCAGATGAAAGCGACCACGAAGAAAGGTCTCGGGCTACATCTCTACATCTGTCTCTTTTTGTCTGTAGGACACAGCTGTCTGTCATTCAAAGCCATTCAGATATACGTCACTGTTATTAGAGCCACAGTATGTGAACATTTAATTCTCCCTTACACCAGGCTTAGAGGTATATCTGGACTGTGGATGGCAAAAGCACATCACAGAGTAATGTTTAAATTTTACTTGAACTTTTACTTGAAATTAACAGTGAACTTAATTACACAGGTAAGACACTGTTACGACTTTGTGTTTGCCTGTTCTTCAACGCAAATGCCGTTCGGTGACGTGTAAGTGGTCTAGTACCAAGAAAGGTTGCTGTTGCAGGTTTTACAGGAAAAGAGAACAGTGTGCCTACTAGGATATGTAGCGCTAGGTTCAGATGGTGTTAGATTAATGGAAAGGAGTGCATGTCTGAATGGGGCTCATGACTCAGTGGTAAAAAGACTCCACCTGAGCTGTTGTGTGAATGCGTGTGTTTGAGAGTTTTTCACCTGAAAGACAATGCGTGACTTCTCCAGCAGGTACTGAGACGTTATGGCACCGCTGATTACACCCCTGGTAAAATTACACACACACACACACACACACACACACATGCATACACAGAGTAAGGCTGAGTTAAGTAACAAGTCATGCATGTGTAATGTGCTCTCTGTCACAGTTCTAACAGAAAATCAACACCTTATCTAACTGTGTCAGTGGGACACATTAGCATATTCCCCAGTAAGCCCAGTGTCACCAATTCTCTGTGTGCGTGTGTGTGTGTGTGTGTGTGTGTGTGTTTCTGTGTGTGTGTTATGAAACAGGGATAACCTTACATATCTATAAAGACATTTCAAGTGACCAAAATGGGCGAGATAATGTATAACACAGAGTAGAGTCACAAAATAGGCCGTTTCTTTATTTTATATATAGCCTCTTCATAAATGCTATAGATTACAGTCTATCTAACAGTGAAAGCAAAAATATTACAAATAAAAAAACACGCTGAAACATCGGAAATCCCTTTTTGGCGTAACACCAACACCAAAGGAAGCAGCTGAAAGAAGAAGAATGTATCAGCAAAAGTTGTTACTACTCACTCGTCCATGTAGATCTGCGTGTATTTGCCAAAGCGTGAAGAGTTGTCGTTGCGCACTGTTTTGGCATTCCCAAAAGACTCCAACAGGGGCATGGCCTCAAGGATCTGCCCAGTCAGCACAGAGGGAAAATTACTATGAGCACTTTCAGTATGACGGCAAAGAGAGCAAAATATGGGGGAAGCGATGAGAATACTTTACCTCTATCTGAAGGCAGAAGATAGATTTAAAGACCACGATGTGAAAGAAAAAAAAAGTTAGTTTAAACTGTCTAAATATGAGCTTCATTCTGTGTCTGTCCACTCATACAAAAAAAATGGACACTGGACATATACCTGCTGTGTGACATTGCGTTTGTGGTGTATGGCTGTCAGGTAACGCAGGATCAATTTAGTGGCCTCAGTCTTTCCTGACCCACTTTCTCCACTGGAATAACAAAAACCACCAATATGAATGATTTACAGCGCTTGTTTTATGATGCCTTTAATCAGACTTTAATCAGCAGTTCATACCTGATCACTATACACTGATCTTTTTTGGCATCCATCATGGTGGTATATGAGAGATTAGCAATGGCAAAGAGATGACTGCAACACAACAAAAGATGTTGAATTAGAATAAAAACACACACACACCAGCTGTGTGCATGTCAGCTTGGTGTGTGTAGAAGTGGCAGTGAAATCCATAACCAAACTCTCCCTTGGCAACAGACCATTAACAGTGTAAGGCGAGCCTGTTACTAACACCTGAGAGTGCTGGCCTTTAACACCTTTATTTACCGCCGTCCAGGATCTCAGAGCACAGCTTACGACACATGTAGACAGATGTAGTGGGACAGCGTATGCCCACACAAACACAGCTGTAAAGGTTTCACTTAAAGGTTTAACCTTTTAACGGCTAGTGTATCACATTTGATACGTGGTGTTTTGTGAGTTTTTGAGACTTTTGCGTCATCAGTGTGAATTTTTTCACCCACGAAAACCAAAATGAATTACACAATACATTTTTTAAACTCATATAGATGCAAATTAATATTTTTAACTTTTTTTCAAAAAATTGTTTCAATAAGCACTTCATTTTCAAACAATTGTGGTTCATGGTTCAGAAAAAGTTGGAACCATGAACCATTCTCTGGCCTTTAGTTTTATTTATGCATCTAGATTTTTGGGTTAAGGTAACCAGGAGAAATTAGCTGTGTAGACGTCTGCCTTTCTCTAGAATAAAGTGTATATAAAACTGCCAAAAACTGCATTTGAAAAAGTCATTAGCAATATCTCTTGCAATGAATTACAACCCGTTTATTCCCCCAAAAAAGTTTCATGAAGGAAATATTTTCTTTATTCTGAACTATGCCAGCTCAGTGTTTCACTTTGCTAGTGGCAGCCTGGCAGAATGTAAAAAATAACGGCATCTTTTAAGCTGAACTATAATGCTAGCTAGCTACCTGCTTTTTTTGCTTTATAAACAAAAAGAAAAGCTCCTGTCGACTTTTTCAGTTTAGAACTACAGGGCTAGTGCCGTCTAATTCATTATATTCTAAACAAGGCAGACATGTTCACATCTGATAAATCCAAAAACAGGTAGTCTACAAAAATAAATAAATAAATAGTCTAGAAAGGGTGACTTCTTGCTAAATTCATAGGAAAATGTCTGACCTTTGTCATACTTCTGAGACAAAGTTAGAATTAAATCATTTCGAGCCTAATACTCTTGTGCAGTTTATTAATAGTAAAATACTCAAAAATGGCCTATCTTGCATTACCTCTTTGCAGAAACTAACAGGTCCAACACATGCAAAAGCCCAAACACACACACACACACTCAAACACAGATCTTACGGGGGATTATCACTCAGTCCATGACCTTCATAAAGGAGCACCATGTCTGTCCCGTAAATGTTGAGCAACTTGTATGGATTCACGGACACAAGGATGCTGCCTATGTAGGTCTGAGTGGAAGACAGAGATGACAGAAGGACAAAAGGGAGGGTAAATGAACTGAGGCAGCTGGCAGTGTCCGTGACATTTTATGATATTACGTTATTTAATTTTCAAATGAGTGATTTAGCATACATAGACAAGATCCTGATCGTAGCGTTTCTTCAGGTTCATCAGAACAGTGGTCTCATTCAGCTCACTGAAATTAAACACAGAAAATTAAAATTCATGTCCTGAGCACATATTGTCCTGCTGAAGCAGCACTCCCACTCTCACTTTGACGTCCAGCATTAATTCGTTTTCAAAGACACTCAAGAGCTCTCTGATTTCCGAAGACTTGTAGTTAAAAACAAAACAAATATCTAATGTGGGGTTTTTGCTCTGGATGTGTTTTTAATAACACTCACATACTTAACATATAATTTACATAATTATAGTGTTTCAAAGCTTTTCAGAGCTTACAGGGACACTGGGAACAAACAAGCCATAGAATAAACTGTGTTACACTGTGCTCAGGGAATAAACTGCTTGTAAGAGTGTGATATAAGTAAATAAGAAGCGAGGCTGCTAATAATGGTTTGTGCTTACGGGAGCTGTGTCAAGTCCTCCATTCCCTCCGCCCAGCGTTTAACCCTGTGGCTTGTTGTGGGCATGCTTAGGATAGAATAGATCTGGACACACACATGAAATGTACATAATTAGTCAAGCACTCACAAATAACAAAGCCTGGGGTGTACAGTCACGGCTCAATGCATAGCTGATTCAAAACATGCAGAAATTCAGATGTTTGTGAACTCTACAAGGAAATGCTGCTAGGGCCATTTAGCTTTAAAGCTTCTCAGTTATTGCTTGAATAATCTGTACATTATGCTTGTTCCTATGCCAATCTATTCTCCATCAATTGTAAAAAATTATAGAAACTTAAATCCTCCTAAAAATGGGTTAATCTTGCATTCGGGTACCTTGTCATACCAGCTTTGACCTGGTACTTTCGGCCTGGCTCTCTCTCTCTCCGGAGCCCAGTCTGGGTCCTGAGCCTTTCCATCCACAAATCGAGGTGCGGGTGAATATCCTTCTAACACCCCATCTTCTTTGTACATCGACCACTTAGATAAATTCTGGACAGTGCCATGTGGTAAAACCCTCTCAGCTGCCCAAACGTCCTCACCTCCATCCCCTCCTCCTTGGGCATTTCTGGCCCAGTGGCCTGAGCGTGGCCCATACGGAGGAATCACAGCATAGCGATTGTCCTCACCCTGCAGTCCTGTTGGCACCGCGTATGAAGCATAACGAAGCTGCTGGTTTTGAATGGCATCAGACAGGCTTGGATTGTGGAACCGCCGTGTGAGAAGTGATTTATCTGAAAGCCTAATGGACAAGAAAATTGATGAATAGCACATAACTGTGGAACACTGGCAAAATGTGAACACGAACATTAAGTGGGCCTACTCTCTAGTATGTGGAGTATACAAGACTAAATGCTGCAAAATGGTCAGAATCAAAGTATAAAAGAACCATCAACATATGCAGATTTTATAAAGTCAACTGGAGATGATTTGGGTTTGTCTGTTAGTTAGTTTAAATGAATCCCCAGCTTGCAGATTGATTTCCTAACAGGTTATTTACCTGGAAAAACCTAATCAGGTCACTTGTGATAGTTTCCAGTAACAGAATAGTTTCCTACCTGTAACTGGCGCCACGCATATCTTCCTTCTGCAGCGCAGTGTATAGGTTGGGAGGTGTGGGTCTGGGCACGCCTGTCAGCACAGAGTTTTCTGACAAATGATAGAGACCTGTAGAACGAAGAGCCCGGTTTTGCCTCAGAGCAGATGAAAGGTTTGGAGGCTGACCAGGGATTACCAGGGTCCCATCAGGAAGACGATATGATGCACTTCGAAGGTTTGCATTCGTAAGAGCCTGAAGGAGGCAGAGGGAAAGCAGAGACGTTACTCAAGAGTGCAGTTTAGGTCACTAAAATGTCCCCAATATTACACTTCATTTCAATAGTCTGTAATAGCTAGAATGTTATGCTTAACTTTAGAAGAAAAAAATGCAACTAAAACAGCAATAAAAACATAAATAAAAGCAATACAAATAATGTTTACTTTATACTTTATAGAATGGTATAAATAGTAATAGTAAATAGTAATAAATAGTAACAGATTACTGTAGCAAAGCTAAATGATATACTATTTTTAACAGGTATGCACTTTAGAGAGATCAGGGCCAACTGGCTTCCGTGGGTCAATGATGATGGTTCCATCGGGCAGGGTGTAGGACACACCCTTTAAATAAGGATTCTGCAAGGCAGCTGCCAGGTTGGGGGTCTTTGGTTTTCTTGGGTCAATGATAATAGTTCCATCTGGGAGTGTGTATGAAGCTCCTTTCAAGGCTGGGTTTTGGAGAGCCTATGTTTTAAAACAGAGACAAATGATTTAGTCATCAGTGAATTAAAGAGGCACCTCAGGTCAACAGTGATTATTAGACAAACTGGAGCCACAAGAACTTTTAAAGACATGATACTTATACTTGTTAACTTTTACACAAGTCCTACTATGTGGGGAAGAGAGGGTGAGTTGAAAGAGAAATTCATAGCACATAACATATCAATAACTAACCTTGGTCAAGTTTGGTGATATGGGTGTATTGGGGTCTTGAACCCCTTCTGGTAATTTGAATGAGGCACTCCGCAAGGCGCTGTTTTGGAGGGCACCGGAAAGGTTTGGAGAGACAGGTTTGCGTGGATCAATGATGATGGTGCCATCTGGCAAGGTGTAGGATGCACTTTTGAGGTAAGGGTTCTGAAGTGCTGCTGCGAGATTGGGGGACTTTTGTTTTTTGGGGTCAATCACAATGGTCCCATCAGGGAGAGAGTAGGAGGCCTCACGCAAAACTGGGTTGCTTAGGGCCTTAGCCAAGTTTGGGGAAATGGGTTGCTGAATGAGCAAAAACAAAGAGAAAAAAATGCATTAAAAGATTCATTATTTTGAACAAACAGATGATGAAAAGAATGAGTTAAGAAAGGAACATAAGACATGGATTACTTGCTGTCTAGGATCTATAATGGTCCCATCCGGAAGAGTATATGAAGCAGTCTTAATGTTCTGATTCTGAAGAGCTCTCGAGAGGTTAGGAGACATTGGCTTCTGAGGCATACGAGGGTCCTATGTGGGTAGAGGCAGAGTGTAAATTAGAAGAGTATAATGTAATGAGGCAGCTGTTGTTGTAGCCTACATAACTGACATATTCCATTTACGTACCCTGATCGATCCATCGGGCAAAACATACGAAGCTCCACGAACTTGCTGATTTTGCAGGGCATGGCCAAGCAATGGGGAGGAACGTGGATCTGCATATGGTGAAACCAAAGTTCCATCTGGCAGACGGTAAGACGCTTGCATCAATTGTGGGTTTTGCAGGGCACTTCCTAATGCTGGGGAAGAGGGTGGTTTGGGTCCATATGGAGATCGTCTGAGTTGCACAGGAGTGTGATAAGAAGCTTGACGAAGGTTTGGGTTCTGCTGAAGAGCACTGTGGAGCTGAGGCCCAGCTGGTGCATAAGGGTTACGATGCTGCATCATAGGGGATCTCATAGTTGAGACACTCTGCAAACCAGATCGGTTTTGCAGTGCATCATGGAGCAGCGGCGCAGGGGCAGGCTCAGAGATATAATCATATGGCGTAACAACAGTTGGTCCGTATGGCAAACTGAACTGTGTCTGATAGGAAGCTACGCCTCTTAGTGCCTGTCCATGTCTCATGGCTTCAGGGAGCACTGGAGATGGAGGTACAGATGGGGGATAAGGGGATTGAGGTCTATAAATAGGAGATACATAGGACGCTTCTCTCACTGCCTGGTTTTGCAGAGCTCCAGATAGTAATGGAGAAGAAGGGGACAGAGAAGGTTCAAGAGGTGACACTGGCCTTTGTAAAGGTGAAACATAAGATGCATCTCGTAGAGCTTGATT